GTATATCCATCAGTACCATCAAATATCACACATGATAATTTGTACATGTAGGGACGTGCCATGCTCCATAGTTCTGCCTGTGAGATACTAATCGAGGTTGACATTTTTATGGTTCCCATTGCTTCGATTGTGCTGTATGGGGTACTACTGGAGCCAACTTCATTGCCAGATTCATCATACAAGCTACTGTAGAGATAAACTTTATATAAATCATTGCCTTCATTTGATACTTCCACTGTAACTTGAACTTTTGCATTATCTGAGTAAAGACCTTTAGATCGATCATTTTCATCATGAGAATTAACTGATCCATAAGGAACAGAAGCACCATATACACCATTGAGAGTAAAATGAACATGAGAGGTTTTTATAAGGTATGTATGTCGATAAATTCCCCCACCTTCATACCACCACCCTGTGCCTCCTTTAGAAGAGCTCAAGACAGCAAGTACATTGTCATTCTCTTCTCCATTGCCATAATAAATACTTGAGGCATTATCAAGACGAACCCCAAAGCTTGTGTACCCAGAATCATGATACAATAACATTTCTCCATTAAGATAAACAGTAGTAGCTCTAAAAACACCTTCAAAGTAGACCCATATAGACATGCCCTTCCAATCACTAGGGATTGAAAAGTGCTTACGGTAGAAAGTTTTATATTTAGGTAAAAAAGCTTGTTTGGCTGGGCCAGTTTCAGTATACTCTCCAATAATGAGTCCATCATGAGGTACATCAACTATTTCCCAGCTACTATCATTGTACTCTCTCTTAGCTACAGAAGGTATTGGCTGTTTGGCCGGAACATCCCTTCTTCCTCCAACCCATACCTTAGTCTTATTGTAGCAGTTGTCACTCTGACCAGTCCAGCAACCAACATTAGAGTATTGCCATATTGCACACATTACGTCTGCACAACATGTATCACGACAATCATCAGCATTGCTGATATTGACTTTATGAGTCAAACCTTGACACTGAAGACCACTAAGGTCATGTGGGAAATTGCTATTAGAACATTGTATGACTGGTTCATTTTCATAGCCTAGCTTGAATCTCCATGCATGGTCAAAGTTAACAGACTCTCTGTTAGAGGAGGAACCTGCAACAGCATAAGCCAGAACAAGTAGAAGAACTGATATCTTCATCTTCTCAAAAGTGCTGATGAACAACACTTTAATATTCATTGAAAATAACATACTATCAAGTTCAGCTATAAATACTATTACATGAATGAATAACATTTTCACAATTGTTATTTGATGCTAAAATACTTTTGAGACTTGGTCTACTAACAATAATACTGTCTAAGAGGCTAACTAAGTGGCCTAAGTTAATGCCTCCATTAAATTTCCCTAGCAATGAGCTAATGGCCATTATGTAGTAGTATTGGCCATACTTCATATGTAACTAAGGTATTAGTATTAATGTTATCTTTTATCTAATAAAATAGTTGTTACATAAATTTACACTTTTGTATATAAGTGAGGTGCTGATACTAAATTTAGTAACTATGAAGAATAATAATGAAAGTTACAAAACACCCATAAGTGTGGCACGATAATGTTGCCATTACATCAAATTGTCAATTATGATCTGTAGTCACGCTGCATCCTTGGTTATACTCTTTCTCCTGATTTAAGTAATTCTGATATGTTCCATCAACTATCTGATAAATATTGACTTCATTATCTCTAATGCGATACTTATAGTGTTTAGCAAGAAACAGAAACACTATCAGAAGAATAAAAAGTAGGACAGCTTGAGTAAGATAATAATAAAAATCAGAGCAGACATATTGATTCTGACATTTAAAAGGATATCTTATGCAACTAATAAATACATAGCCTATTGCCCATGAACTATACCACACACCAACCATCATTCCTCTGCTATGCATTGGCGATTGAGCTATAGTAAACTCGAGTAAAGCTGGATTGATTAAGAAATATGATACACCTGAAAGAATCTCAGAAATAAAATCATACCAGGTTTGAACCAATGATAGTATTTTAAAAGAGACAGCTAACAATGAAAGAAACAGGCCAATTGTCATACAAAACAGCATACTAGGAAGCCACTTTATGAAAAAAACTTTGATGAAAGAAAAGTACAGCAGGAACAATAAAAAAGAACATGCAGCATTAATGAAGTTGTTTGACTGCAAGCAAACCATTGATAAAGTACTACTACTAAAAAAACCATTGAAATCTTGGCTAATAGCATTTCCAACACTTACAATAAACAGTGGTAGCATTCGAAATACAGTTTTGACATCTTCCACTTCTTCTTCTGTGAATGGTCCGCCATATTTCTCTTTACCCAGGTCCAGTCTTGAAGGAGCCTCTTCCTCCCAGTAGGTCAGAGCACTACGATTCTCAGGATACTTGTGCTTCCTGGCATAACACAATACTCTAACTATCAGTTTTATAGGATTCTTGATAAGAGATACATTCTCCAATTTATGTTTAAAGAGAGAGTGAGATACCAATACAATAGATACAGCTACTCCTGACAATATAAATAAGATTAATTCAAAGTAGGTATAAGGATTTAAGCAACTGATTAGACCAAAAAGCATTGTTGATACTGGCAATATGATGCAGTGCAAGTATATCACAGTATTCAGTTCATAAGCTGAAGCTCCTACAAGTTGATCAATTGTATATTGAATAACATTAGCATTAAAAAAAGCTGCACCAGCTGCTTGGATAACACATCGCAAGAAAAAAATTGTCAATACAATTTCCATGTAAAAATCATAGCTTTGCACAATAAGACTAATCCCAAACACTATCCAAGAAATGAAACACAATACCATACTAATCAGTATAGTTTTATGTCTTCCAATACATAAATCAGCTAATAATCCAAAAAAGGGAAAAGGTAGAAAAAACAAAAATTCAATAGCATGACCATATAAAATGTATTCACTTTTTAGATAAGACTTTACATAATACATATTGAGAGTCAGTTCCAAATTTAATAGATAATCCCAGCAGAGAATCAATACAGCAGAATAAGAGGTAATAAGAATTGCCTGAAGTTTCTTAGACATCACTTATACAATACTCTTTAGTTTCAATGTTAAACAGTTCAAGTGTACATCATTTTATATAACAAGAACATTGAAAGTTTACTTTTAACGCACAATACTGGTAGCATTATTAATAATAATATTATTGCACCTACAAGCATGCTATATACTACCTACAATGTACATGTACTAGCATAGCAAAACCAGTGTGCCTTGCACTATTGCAACTCAGACCAATAGATTTGACTTACAAAAAACTATGCTACATGGGACTTATCTTACAGTCATTATTATAGAAATTAATTGTCACAAATATTGAAAGTAGTTACTGATCCCAAAAGAAAACAATCATGTACTTTTAGTTTCATAGGCCAAT